TTGATAAAAATGAGTTCCCTGTTGGGTTATTTGTGGACCTGCGTAAAGCTTTTGATACTGTCAACCACCAAAACCTTCTTCTTAAACTACATCATTATGGAGTCAGAGGACACTCCCTACAATACCTCAAATCCTACCTTACTGACAGGCTCCAATATGTTTCTGTGAATAATACAATTTCTCCCACCCTACCCATCAACATTGGTGTTCCTCAGGGCAGCATACTTGGCCCTCTCCTCTTTCTCATCTACATTAATGACCTTCCAAATGCCTCCCAACACCTCAAACCAATTCTATTTGCTGACGACACAACCTTCATTTACTCCAGTCCTGACCCCCTTGCTCTAAATGCCACAGTAAATACTGAGCTAAATAAAGTCCATCTTTGGCTAACTGCCAACAAACTCACCCTTAACATTGACAAAACCTTCTATATTCTGTTTGGCAATAAATCCTCTAGTCATATAAATCTCAAAATAAACAATACCCAAATTTGTAACAAATTAGATGGCAAATTCCTTGGCATTCTCATTGACCACAAGCTGAATTTCCAGGGACACATTCTAAATATATCAAAAAAAGTTTCAAAAACTGTGGGCATTCTTTCTAAGATCAGATATTATGTACCACGCCCTGCCCTGGTGACTCTCTATTACTCCCTTATCTATCCATATCTCAACTATGGTATTTGTGCTTGGGGTTCTACTACCCAAAATCACTTACGTCCTCTAATTACTCAACACAAAGCTGCTATTAGGACAATATCCAACTCTGTTATATTGCCCCAGACATCACTCGGTACCCCTACTCAAATCTCTGAATATGTTAGATATTAAGTCACTGCACATTCTCTCATGTGTATTATACATATATAAAACGCTAAACTATAATGCCAATCCTGATCTCAAAAGCTTCATAGAAGGTTGTAACAGAACCCATGAGCACCACACCAGAAATAAATACAGTTTTGATATTCCTAGAGTACGTCTTAATCAAACTAGAAATGCTCTACAAATCAAGGGGCCCAGAATGTGGAATGACCTTCCCAACCATGTTAAAGACTGTACCTCTCTCAACCAGTTTAAGATAAAAACGAAGCACTACCTAATAAATTCCCTGTAACCTACCTTACTCCTCTATTGTCAACCCATGTCTGTTATTTTCTTTTTTTTTTCTTTTTTTTAATCAACGCTGTTTGTCAACCTAATTGTATTTGTGCTGCTTTTTCAGTCATGTTCCCCCTTTTTTTTTATCTTTGTATTTGTTCTCAACATCTTTTATTCTTTATGCTCAATTAGTATTAAGCTTTAGTCATTAATGTTTTTTCTTGCCCGAAACGCTTTGCGTAATAGTGGCTTTAGGCATTGTATGTACTAGCTCTATCTATATATCAATCCATTAATGTAACATCACTTGTATGTATATACCTTACCTGTAAACATCTGAATCTGATCTGTAACGTAGATATATGACCGAACCTAACCTACCTAACCTAACCTATCTTTAAGGTTAGGTTTAGGTAGCCGAAAAAGTTTTAGAGGTAGGTTAGGTAGTGAAAAATACAATTAATTCATGAAAACTTGGCTTATTAGGCAAATCGGGCATTGCATAGTAGGTAGAAGTGCGTTCTGGCTATTAGGTACGACATATATATATATATATATATATATATATATATATATATATATATATATATATATATATATATATATATATATATATATATATATATATATATATATATATATATATATATTATTAGTATATTTTGGTAGCAGTCTTTCCTGTAGACATATATTATTAAATATGACCGAAAAAGTAAGATTAATAATTCTAACACGAATTTTCTCGATCTTTCGTACGTTTCTTTTCACTGTTGGTGGTAATTCAAAAATCAATTCTCCAAAATTCATTTTTATTTCTAGTCTGACGCGACACTTGAGCGCGTTTCGTAAAACTTATTACATTTTCAAAGACTTTAGTTTACACATACACAACTGAATAGAACTTACACATCTTCGATTTGTTTATATCTACATTTGAGTGAGGTGGATGGGGTGAGGTGGTATTAATAGGGTATTAAATTCCTAAACACAAGACAGAACACGAAACAATGGGTATTGAATGGAAGTGATTGTAGAAAGCCTATTGGTCCATATTTCTTGATGCTTCTATATTGGAGCGGAGTCTTGAGGTGGGTAGAATATAGTTGTGCATTAATTGGCTGTTGATTGCTGGTGTTGACTTCTTGATGTGTAGTGCCTCGCAGACGTCAAGCCGCCTGCTATCGCTGTATCTATCGATGATTTCTGTGTTGTTTACTAGGATTTCTCTGGCGATGGTTTGGTTGTGGGAAGAGATTATATGTTCCTTAATGGAGCCCTGTTGCTTATGCATCGTTAAACGCCTAGAAAGAGATGTTGTTGTCTTGCCTATATACTGGGTTTTTTGGAGCTTACAGTCCCCAAGAGGGCATTTGAAGGCATAGACGACGTTGGTCTCTTTTAAAGCGTTCTGCTTTGTGTCTGGAGAGTTTCTCATGAGTAGGCTGGCCGTTTTTCTGGTTTTATAGTAAATCGTCAGTTGTATCCTCTGATTTTTGTCTGTAGGGATAACGTTTCTATTAACAATATCTTTCAGGACCCTTTCCTCCGTTTTATGAGCTGTGGAAAAGAAGTTCCTGTAAAATAGTCTAATAGGGGGTATAGGTGTTGTGTTAGTTGTCTCTTCAGAGGTTGCATGGCGTTTCACTTTCCTTCTTATGATGTCTTCGACGAAACCATTGGAGAAGCCGTTGTTGACTAGGACCTGCCTTACCCTACAGAGTTCTTCGTCGACTTGCTTCCATTCTGAGCTGTGGCTGAGAGCACGGTCGACATAAGCGTTAACAACACTCCTCTTGTACCTGTCTGGGCAGTCGCTGTTGGCATTTAGGCACATTCCTATGTTCGTTTCCTTAGTGTAGACTGCAGTGTGGAAACCTCCGCTCTTTTCCATGACTGTTACATCTAGAAAGGGCAGCTTCCCATCCTTTTCCATCTCGTAAGTGAAACGCAGCACGGAACTCTGCTCAAATGCCTCCTTCAGCTCCTGCAGATGTCTGACATCAGGTACCTGTGTAAAAATGTCGTCAACATACCTGCAGTATATGGCCGGTTTCAAGTTCATGTCGACTAAGACTTTTTGCTCGATGGTACCCATGTAGAAGTTTGCAAACAGGACACCTAGGGGAGAACCCATGGCGACCCCATCTACTTGCTTATACATGTGCCCATCCGGGCTCAAGAAGGGTGCCTCTTTAGTACAAGCTTGGAGTAGTTTCCTTAGAATATTTTCTGGTATGTCAAGAGGAGTACAGGCCGGATCACGATACACTCTGTCGGCTATCATCCCGATTGTCTCGTCCACAGGTACGTTGGTAAACAGTGATTCTACGTCCAACGAGGCTCTTATCCCTGTGGCCCGTGTGCCCCGCAGTAAGTCAACAAATTCCTTTGGAGACTTCAGGCTGAAGGCGCAAGGGACATAAGGAGTCAGCAGGCCGTTGAGTCGCTTCGCCAGTCTGTACGTGGGTGTGGATATCTGGCTAATGATTGGCCGAAGTGGGTTTCCAGGCTTGTGTGTCTTGACATTTCCATACGCATATCCAGGTTTATATTCCCCAATAATCTTTGGCAGGTGGAGTCCGGATTTCTTGGCGTTCACAGTTTCGATAAGTTTGTTGACCTTTGCTTTCAATTCGGCTGTAGTGTCCTTCGTTACCCTTTGGAATTTAGTTTGGTCAGAGAGTATGAGGTTCATTTTCGCCAGATATTCGTCTTTTTTAAGAATGACATATATTGGCGACTTGTCACCTCTCCTGACAACTATCTCCTTGTTCTCACGAAGGCTTTTAGCTGCCGCTATGAGCTCGGGGGACAGTATGGTGCTTCTGTAGTTGAGGCAACTACAGAACCACCATCTAACTACTACTACACCATCTGTACTGTAGCTGTGTGTCCCACACCATCTGTACTGTAGCTATGTGTCCCACACCACCTGTACTGTAGCTGTGTGTCCCACACCATCTGTACTGTAGCTGTGTGTCCCACACCACCTGTACTGTACTGTAGCTGTGTGTCCCACACCATCTGTACTGTCCTGTAGCTGTGTGTCCCACACCATCTGTACTGTAGCTGTGTGTCCCACACCATCTGTACTGTAGCTGTGTCCCCCACACCATCTGTACTGTAGCTATGTGTCCCACACCACCTGTACTGTACTGTAGCTGTGTGTCCCACACCACCTGTCCTGTAGCTGTGTGTCCCACACCACCTGTACTGTCCTATAGCTGTGTGTCCCACACCACCTGTCCTGTAGCTGTGTCCCACACCACCTGTCCTGTAGCTGTGTCCCACACCACCTGTCCTGTAGCTGTGTGTCCCACACCACCTGTCCTGTAGCTGTGTGTCCCACACCACCTGTCCTGTAGCTGTGTGTCCCACACCACCTGTCCTGTAGCTGTGTGTCCCACACCACCTGTCCTGTAGCTGTGTGTCCCACACCACCTGTCCTGTAGCTGTGTGTCCCACACCACCTGTCCTGTAGCTGTGTGTCCCACACCACCTGTCCTGTAGCTGTGTGTCCCACACCACCTGTCCTGTAGCTGTGTGTCCCACACCACCTGTACTGGTATTTGTCACGGCGAGTGGTTTAGTGCTCGCCATCACCATCCACACCTGCATGTTGCCTCTCAGATATATTCTTCCTGTGTGTCACGTGTGACTGTCCCTGTGTGTGTGTGTGTCACGTGTGACTGTCCCTGTGTGTCACGTGTGACTGTCCGTGTCACTAACCTGAGGTAAGCTTATTGAACCAAAAGTGGTCATAGTCTAGCCTGTAATGTAAACTTGATTCAGTGTGTCTCAGATATTGTTTCATTGCCAGGTGTGTAGCCAGGTGTAAAGCCAGGTGTGTAGCCAGGTGTATAGCCAGGTGTTTAACAGTTACTGTGTGTGCAGATGTTCCGTGAGGAGGCGGGCACCGGAGTGGTGTTCCTGGCCTTCAGTGAGGACTCCACCTGCACCAGCGGCCTCTCTTCCCCTACTGCTGGGTAAGTCTCCTCCTCCCCTACTGCTGGGTAAGTGTTATAATAAATGGTGGGCTTGCTATGGGGAATCTAGTGCTATTCAGGGGTAAGGTCAGTCAGAATAAAGATGTATCTATTTGGGGAGATCAGTAAGGCCTGGCCCCCATGGAAACTAGAAGTAGTGCTGACTACTTGGCTACACAACAAGGTCAGTCTAGGGAATGATCAAGATCTCCTACACAGGAAGAACGATACTCTTATAATTCATGTACTTATTTATTAACCCCTTAACAGCCCCCCATATACATTCACACCAATAACAATAATAATAATAACTTTACCACACTACCTTACGTTAAAAGCCTTGGTCCACATAAGCAGGATACAAGGTTTTACACTGAGCACAAGCTAGGGTAAAGCTCTACTATTGAATAACTTGATGTTAGTCAGCTTAGGGTAGGGGGACCACGTGGTTCCAATGGAACCCCCTTTAGAATAACTAGTAATATAAACTCTAAAACACCTACTACACACAAAATATACTACTCTACACATAGAACATGAGTATGCCAGAGATTGAATAATGTACTCAGTATATACTTATCTTGAACAAAACACAGAAATAAGGAAACGAAGAGGAAGGAGAGGAAGTTCCTTTCACCACAGCCAGCCACCAGAGAAGGCCGCTTCAGCCCAGATCATGCAGCCTCCCACATCGTGTGGTGCCGGGAAGAGCCTAATTGATCGTGCAGCTAAGCACATTAAAAATCTTCCCCTATGCAACGTATTGTTACTTTACAAATGATTAAAGTATTAGTAAACATAGTTGGTGCCTATGTTATTATTTAATAATCAACCCCCAGCTCAGTCTTTAAATGCTCTTTGAGAAACAAGAATAGTCTTACGTCTGGCAGGGAAGATACAAACAAAGACACATCGAGTTGCGTTCAACTATACTATAGGAAAGTTTAATAACTCAATTTTGACCTCTGGTTTCCACTGAAGAACCCAGGGTCGTAACACTAAGTCTCCTCCTCCCCTACTGCTGGGTAAGTCTTCCTCCTCCCCTACTGCTGGGTAAGTCTTCCTCCTCCCCTACTGCTGGGTAAGTCTCCCTCCTTCCCTACTGTTGGGTAAGCCTCCCCCTCCCCTACTGCTGGGTAAGTCTCCTCCTTCCCTACTGTTGGGTAAGCCTCCCCCTCCCCTACTGCTGGGTAAGCCTCCCCCTCCCCTACTGCTGGGTAAGTCTCCTCCTCCCCTACTGCTGGGTAAGTCCCCTCCTCCCCTACTGCTGGTAAGTCTCCTCCTCCCCTACTGCTGGGTAAGTCTCCTCCTCCCCTACTGCTGGGTAAGTCTCCTCCTCCCCTACTGCTGGGTAAGTCTCCTCCTCCCCTACTGCTGGGTAAGTCTCCCTCCTCCCCTACTGCTGGGTAAGTCTCCCTCCTCCCCTACTGCTGGGTAAGTCCCCTCCTCCCCTACTGCTGGGTAAGCCTCCTCCTCCCCTACTGCTGGGTAAGCCTCCTCCTCCCCTACTGCTGGGTAAGTCTCCTCCTCCCCTACTGCTGGGTAAGCCTCCTCCTCCCCTACTGCTGGGTAAGCCTCCTCCTCCCCTACTGCTGGGTAAGTCTCCTCCTCCCCTACTGCTGGGTAAGTCCCCTCCTCCCCTACTGCTGGGTAAGTCTCCTCCCCTACTGATGGGTAAGTCTCCTCCTCCCCCACTGTTGGGTAAGCCCCCTCCTCCCCTACTGCTGGGTAAGTCTCCCTCCTCCCCTACTGCTGGGTAAGTCCCCTCCTCCCCTACTGCTGGGTAAGCCTCCTCCTCCCCTACTGCTGGGTAAGCCTCCTCCTCCCCTACTGCTGGGTAAGTCTCCTCCTCCCCTACTGCTGGGTAAGTCTCCTCCTCCCCTACTGCTGGGTAAGCCTCCTCCTCCCCTACTGCTGGGTAAGCCCCCTCCTCCCCTACTGCTGGGTAAGCCCCCTCCTCCCCTACTGCTGGGTAAGCCTCCTCCTCCCCTACTGCTGGGTAAGCCTCCTCCTCCCCTACTGCTGGGTAAGCCTCCTCCTCCCCTACTGCTGGGTAAGCCCCCTCCTCCCCTACTGCTGGGTAAGTCCCCTCCTTGTTTCGACAAGAAGCAAAGTACAATGCCAAATTGATGCTTTAGTCAGAGAGCGCTCCCTTTCCCAGATTATTTACACTGATGGATCCTTGCACCAGTACCATGGTGCAGCTGAAAGTGCAGTTGTTGTGACAGGGAGAGATGGTTCCTTCTCCCATGAGTGTGGAGTACGTTCTAATAACTGGGCCTCCACTCTTCAAACAGAATTGGTTGCCACAATCCTTGCACTCGAGAGGTGCATAGGTTGATAGGTTGGATTATATGAATCCAAAGTTGACACGTTAATTGTAAGTGACTCCTTGTCATCCTTGACTGCCCTCAGCTCCCCAAGGCATAACTGTGACGTGCTTGTGTCTGAAGCTAGACACAGATATGGTGACATAATCAATGATGGAGTCGGAGATTGTGTCCTTTGGATTCCTTCCCATATTGGTCTCCGAATGCATGATAGAACTGATGAGTTGGTGAACACTTCAGCTCGTAAAGAGGGAATTTATTACCATCTTGGACTGCCTTTGAGCTGCCTGAGGGCAGTAATATTCCAGGAACATCATCAAAATCTGGTAGACTTAAGGCAAAGTGACATTCACACCAGTTGCTCCATCTATCGTCGTTCTATTATGCAGGAAGAACCGCACGTCTATGGGTCATCCAATAATGTTAGCAGACTTCTAGATGTTACCACTGCTAGGCTTAGGCTCGGCTACAAGCACCTCTGGGAGTTTGTAACATCTGCTGATGTAGATTTGACTAAATGTAAACTCTGTCAGCAGAACTATTCACATACTTTGCGTCATTATATAATGGAATGTGAACAAAATCGCGGAATTCAGAGATAACACCATCAATGGTGTCCAAGAAATGTGTAAGTACTTCATTCATAATGATGTGCTGCCAGGACTCTTAGCCAAGTATTCAATATTGGCTTACTGTAGGTAATGCATGCACATGACTGTAAAGCTGCCGCCCAGTTGGGTGGGTGTGGAGCACATGACTGTAAAGCTGCCGCCCAGTTGGGTGGGTGTGGAGCACATGACTGTAAAGCTGCCGCCCAGTTGGGTGGGTGTGCAGCAAGACTAGTAACTGTGTGACTCACCATAGATGTAAAGTGCCTTGTATAGTGACTGTTGTGAGCCTCTTGTTGAATCACTTGTCATACAACATTATCGATGTGTGTGTTTGTGTAAATGATTGTATATGTCCGTGTGTATGTAACATTAACAATTGTGTAGTTAGCTTCAATAGATTGTCAGTTGTTAGTTAAACAAACTCTGGGGTTCATTTACTGAAGCCATTATGTCCCTCTGTAACCCTCTCCACCACCGTCCACGGGATGGGTATGGGGGGCATAATAAAGAAATTGAATTACTGTGAGCAGCAGCAGCAGGTCCCTCCCTCCCTCGTCTGGCATCCCGTGCTGGAGATTCCATCCTCGTAACTCTGCCATATTTTGAGGTTCGTAGAAAGTGTTCTACATTGATGCTAGTTCTGGTAGTGGTGGGGGGGGGGGCAAGGGGTTAAAGAGGGCAGCATGCTAGGGTTAAACCAATCGCGGGTGATCCATGTGTGGGTGAAGATAGGGAGAGAAGAGGACGAGAACTGGAGAGAGAAAAGATGTTTGCAGTGTTGGACAGAGAGGAGTGAGTGCAGAGGGTGTGGGTCGGGAGGCAGGAGTGTAGATGGCTGCAGGGGAGCGAGAGGGCGCAGTGTGAAGAGACGCAGAGGGGAAATAACCCCAGTAGTGGAGGCGGTGACTGATGATGAGAGGAAGAGTTAGTGGTCACGAGTGTGCTTGTGGGTGTTGAGCCTTGGTCAAGCTTCCGTCACTAGAGGTGTGGGAGGGTGTAGCCCAGGAGTGTACACACGGTGTAGTGAGGTGTACTGTCCCTGCAGGTACGAGAACTTCGTGCTCAAGTCTGTGCCGCCGCCGCCCCTGCCCCCCGACGTCAGCTCCGCCACCTGCGCCTTCCCCAGGAGTCTCCACGGCCACTGGCACCACACCTACGTCGCTGATGACACCGTCGTCTTCAAGGTCAGTCCGTAACCGTGTTGTCGCATTTTGCTCCACTGGATGTGTCTCCCGGACTGACTTGGTGTGTACATAATTGGTGACCGTGTGAGAGGTGTAGTAACACCCCCCACGGAGCACAGCCCCACGGTGGTGGTGGTGCAGCCGCCACGGAGCACAGCCCCACGGTGGTGGTGGAGCAGCCCCCACGGAGCACAGCCCCACGGTGGTGGTGGAGCAGCCGCCACGGAGCACAGCCCCACGGTGGTGGTGGTGCAGCCGCCACGGAGCACAGCCCCACGGTGGTGGTGGAGCAGCCGCCACGGAGCACAGCCCCACGGTGGTGGTGGAGCAGCCGCCACGGAGCACAGCCCCACGGTGGTGGTGGAGCAGCCGCCACGGAGCACAGCCCCACGGTGGTGCTGGAGCAGCCGCCACGGAGCACAGCCCCACGGTGGTGGTGGAGCAGCCGCCACGTGGCTCCCTCCTGCACCTCTCCCTCCCTCTGTGCTCCCTCAACCTTTTAACATCTGGACGGGCTCTACAAAATTTTCAATACTTTACATTTTCTGTTTTGTGAAAATGGCGTTCTTGTCAAGGGTGTGTGTGTGGGGGGGGGGGGGGGCACAGGTGGGAAGTATAACGCTCCCTCTCACCCCTTCTCACGCCCACCCCCTTCTCACGTCCACGCCCTTCTCACGCCCACGCCCTTCTCACGCCCACGCCCTTCTCACGCCCACACACCATGTCGCATCATGACTTCCCGTAAAATGTACCCTCGTAATGTTGGAAGGTTTAGTTGATGACCAAGGGATACAGGTTGTGGTGACCCCGTGATGTAGCGCTGGACCTGATATATGAAGGGTCATCAGCAAGTGGGTAATGTTGGGCAGGAGCAGCAGTGAGGACGGGCGCGTCTGCCCTTCTCACCGTCTCCACAGTGCTCACAATACACCTGCCATAAGCAGGCGATGAGTCACAATAATGTGGCTGAAGTATGTTGACCAATCCACATACGAGAAATGATGGGACGACGACGTTTCGGTCCGGCCTGGACCATTCTCAAGCCGATTGTCATAGTGGGCCAGGACGGACCGAAACTTCGTCGTCCCTTCATTTTCTAGTATGTGACTTGGTCAACACACCTGCCACAATACTGTGTACCTTATAAACATTGACAGCTGTAATAATTCAACTCTTGAGGATACATCCTCAAGATTTTATATCCTTATTGTGAGGATAAAAGTGAGGTTCTCCAGAGTAAAGAAGCTCCGACGTAAGGTATTTAAGCGGCGAGGTACAAGGCCCTGACTCACTTATCTGAAGCGTTACCGCTGTCGAGCTCCGTACTGATAACCAAGTATTTATAGTCACTAATAATACATTCTGATGAATGTTGGTACACATAGTCAAGAGGGAGTCCACAGCACTGCTTGGACCCAGACGAGTGTAAGGTTATGAACACGGGAGTCCGGCCACCAGGCGGGGGGGGGGGGGGCGGGGGTCGGACCTGCGGCCACCAGGCGGGGGGGCGGGGGTCGGACCTGCGGCCACCAGGCGGGGGGGCGGGGGTCGGACCTGCGGCCACGAGGCGGGGGGGGGGGGTCGGACCTGCGGCCACCAGGCGGGGGGGGGGGGGGTCGGACCTGCGGCCACGAGGCGGGGGGGGGGGGTCGGACCTGCGGCCACCAGGCGGGGGGGCGGGGGTCGGACCTGCGGCCACCAGGCACATGCCGCAGTACGGAAATGCCATACATACTTGATTAGAAAAGCGAGAAGACTTTGCTTATTATTAACATCTTTATTGACAAAATTAATTACAATTTTGCCTAATCTGAGGATTTTGATAGTCTTATTAAAGTGAGGATAATGGTGGTATTCACTATCACGCAGGACAGAGGGTCATACATAAGTCAATAGGTCTAAACTGTAGGCTGAAGCACATATATATCATTGTTACAATCAATGTTTTAATGTGTGGATATGTGAAAACAACTTTCTATTGTGCACTGCCACACAAGGGCAGGGATGTGCACTGCCACACAAGGGCAGGGATGGGTTCATAAGTGATACAGCTTAGAAGTAATATAAATAAAAGTTGTTCTTCATTCTTTAAAATGGACAAGCAAATTTTGGATAAATTGTTAGGATGTCGTCCAGAACACCTGAGTCAATAAAATAGTTACACAGTTGGTGGTACAAGAGGCCAGGAGGTCTAAAGTCCTTTACGGTTTCACATTTAACAATATAATGTTCTAGCGAATGCATTAAAGGTTTATCACAGAGTTTACAATCTGAGTATTCTGGTAGTGGCTCAGCCTCACTAACCTGCCAGATGTGTCTATAGCCAAGGCGAATTCGCGCAATGACTACATCACATTGCCTGGTCCGGTTACTGTGCTGACCATACAAATACCTATTATTACAAAACTTGTCATAACTTTTAATACTGCAGCTTTCAGGTCTCTGGGCATTTCTTAGTTCTTCTAAATCTGAATTAATTTCTTTAATTTGTATGTTTCTAATAACTGCATTAGATAGTCCAAAGTCATAATCAATGTTTTCTTTCCTGCAAGCCTCATTGGCCAATCGATCTACAAAGTCATGTTTTCCAACTCCAACATGGGATGGGATCCACACAAATTTTATACAATAGTTATTATCATTGACAAAAATTACATTCCATTTAATATTACAAGCTACTTCCGACATACATTGTGATGGGTTATTTAAGGACTGCAGAGCACTTTTAGAGTCACAGAAAATAACTACCACCATTGAGCTTAAGGTAAATTTAATGGTAGAGAGAGACATCGGTAGAATGATGTAGGTAGTATATGCCGAACCTGGCAACGTCCGGATGGCCGTAAAGCACCCGAGTATAATAGCCTTCCTAGGGCTATATAGAACCTACGTGAGACCATGCCTTGTGTATGCAGCCATGGATCTCCCACCTGAAGAATAAAACTAAAGAAAACCAGAAAAGTACAATATGCGGAAAGGCTGGCACCTTTGAAGAGTGTGGTGAGCTACGAGGCGGTGCTCAGAGCTGGAGCTCAACACTGTACGAGAGGAGGAACAACGGGACAAGATAATATTCTAAAGACAATTGGAGAAGCAATTATCTATAACTACTAATTTATATAACTGGTATAAGTATCAAGTATAACTTGATGTTTAAGCGAGCCGTAAAGGCGCGTGGAGAACTTCTCAAGTGTAAAGCAGATGAATATATAGGTCGGGTTAAAGGAAGTATTTGAAGCAAAACTAGATGCCGAGATTTTAAATGTCAATATAAGAAACTGGGAGGCAAGTCATTACATTAAATTACAAATTTTTAGAAAGGCGGAGCCTAGGAGCCGACGCTGGACGTAGGAGCAAGCAGATCTTGGCGGGCACAATAATGAATCACGCCTTCGGAAGTCCCCGAGGCAGGATTTTCGGTTTGTAAACATAACAACTTCTTGAGAGCAGAGTTCAGTGCAGTTTACTGTTGGCCAGATGTGTCCGGGAGCTTCTCCGGCTGGTAGTGCCGGATGGAAGGTTGTGTGAGGAGCCAGTCTTCTGATCTGTACATGTGTGTTCAAAACTGTAAATGTTATATATTGATATTATTTAATACCAATGTTGCAGGATGGCAGTCAGTCAGGTTGACTGCCGCGCAAGACAGTCCGGATGTCGTCCAATTATGCAACAACTATTTCATTGAGGAGTTGTGACTGTTGACTGGGTGGAGTTCGTGGGAGGAATGGTGCGTAATGTTTGTGTCAAGGTCAGACTACCTCCGGCACGTGAAGGTGTTGGCGTACCCGCGTCTCCTGCCTCGCTGATGGGCGTGCACGGTGGGAGTGACCTCGTGGTTACCCCCACACACACATTTTACTCTCAATTGCTCCCATATTAAAGAGGGCGTGGCATGGTAAAGCGGTGTGCTGGAGCCAGAACAGCCTTTCCGGGTCCCAGCGACGGCCACTGCGACACGCCCGCCCCGGCCGCCGCTCTCCTAGTGTTCCCCTGCTCTACACACACCACACTCACACTGTTCCTACCGCTCTTTGTGTCCAGCAGCCCGTTCTCCTGATCCACCACTCAGTACAGCATCCATCCTCGACCCCCCACACTGTGTGAGAGATATATGGTCTTATAAAATGTTGCGCCCCCCCCTCCCAAGGCTGTCACATGGTGTGGCCCCCCCCAGGCTGTCACATGGTGTGGCCCCCCCCAGGCTGTCACATGGTGTGGCCCCCCCAGGCTGTCACATGGTGTGGCCCCCCCCAGGCTGTCACATGGTGTGGCCCCCCCAGGCTGTCACATGGTGTGGCCCTCCCCCCAGGCTGTCACATGGTGTGGCCCCCCCCAGGCTGTCACATGGTGTGACCCTCCCCCCAGGCTGTCACATGGTGTGGCCCCCCCCAGGCTGTCACATGGTGTGGCCCCCCCCAGGATGTCAGATGGTGTGGCCCCCCCAGGATGTCAGATGGTGTGGCCCCCCCCAGGATGTCAGATGGTGTGGCCCCCCCAGGCTGTCACATGGTGTGGCCCCCCCCAGGCTGTCACATGGTGTGACCCTCCCCCCAGGCTGTCACATGGTGTGGCCCCCCCAGGCTGTCACATGGTGTGGCCCCCCCAGGCTGTCACATGGTGTGGCCCCCCCCAGGCTGTCACATGGTGTGGCCCCCCCCCAGGCTGTCACATGGTGTGGCCCCCCCCAGGCTGTCACATGGTGTGGCCCCCCCCAGGCTGGCACATGGTGTGGCCCCCCCCAGGCTGTCACATGGTGTGGCCCCCCCCAGGCTGTCACATGGTGTGGCCCCCCCCAGGCTGTCACATGGTGTGGCCCCCCCCAGGCTGTCACATGGTGTGGCCCCCCCCAGGCTGTCACATGGTGTGGCCCCCCCAGGCTGTCACATGGTGTGGCCCCCCCAGGCTGTCACATGGTGTGGCCCCCCCAGGCTGTCACATGGTGTGGCCCCCCCCAGGCTGTCACATGGTGTGGCCCCCCCAGGCTGTCACATGGTGTGGCC